CGCGCGCGCGCGCGACGCTAATTGTTTTAATTACCTCCCTCCCCCACGGGGCTCCCGGCCTCGGCCCGGCCTTTGTTCCGGCGCGGGCCCCGCCGCCGCCCACAGCGCGGCCGGGACGGGGCTCCCCGCAGGGACGGCTCCCCGCGCCGCTCCCGGGGGATGCTGCTGCTCATCGCGCCCATCGTACGGCGTTTCCCGTGGGTAGATTGCGGGCGCTTGCAGGAACCCCCGTGTCTTTCTCCGCGGTCCCTGGAGACCTGGGCAGGGCAGGGCAGGGCAGGCCGAGCAGCATCCCCGCGCCGGTCCCATCTTTCCGTCCCGCGCGCACGGGGCTGCTTAGAAAGCTGCTGTCGCCAGGAAACGCCAGTGACACCGCAGCAAACTCTTCCCTTTTCCGGTGTCTGTGGCTGCACGGCAGCCTCTGCCTGGGGCCGGCAAAGGCACTGGGGGGCTCGGCTCGGCAGCGCGCTGGGCGTGGGCACGGCTCCAGGGATGCCTGTGCTGTAAATGCTCAGGGTCGCTCATGAGGCTGCTTGTGGATTAAGCAGCAGAAGTTTCTGAAGCTTGAACGTGTTGCCCCGCCGTGGGGATCCGCACGCTGGCTGCCTCGCAGCCACAACCCCTCGTGCATCAGTGATCACGGCCGTGTTCGGACCCTGTCCCTCAACGGGGAAGAGCGAGTCCGGCCTGGCCCTGTGCTCCTGGACTTTAGCGAGGGCTGCAGCTGGAGTCCTGTTTAAATTGCACGTAGCACTGCTGACAGGCTGCTGCTGCTGCACCTCTCTGCCCCTGAGCTCTATCTGCGGTGGCGCTCGATTAAGTGGGGCACTGCCTGGCTGTAGCAAGTCTCTTGCAGCCATTCAGGGTTGAAGCAATGGGATCGCTTCCTTTTCCTGTATCTGTTTTGTGCTCCGCACCTGTTGCTATAGCTCACACGAGGCGCTGTCTGTGTCCCCCTTTCCTCCTCTTTGTACGTCACTAGCCCAAGGCTCCCAAATTTAGTGCTCTGGCCACTGTGGTTTGGATTCTGTCGCTATGCCGGACCTCATGACTGCGCCAGTGGTTGGAGGTTTAATGTCTAAATGTGTTTATCGTTTGCCAGGCTAATTAGAAACAGGAATAAACTCATCAGAGAAATAGTTCTCGTAGTAAGGCAGGATAAGTCTGCAGTTCAGATGCTGCGTGCCTGGAAGCATACCCTTGATCTCACTACCCTTGAGCTCTCAAGTGGATTTTTTGGTCTGTTTTTCTCCTTGCCCTCACTCTCTTCCTGTTCTCCAGGTTTCTTTTTCTCTCTTCACCTCACATGCATGTCCTCCTCGCACAGGCTGCTGTTGCTGTCCCCTTGTTTCCAGACCTCCTTTCCCTGTCTCCTGGAATCTTCTTGCTGCTGTTTTCTCTCCCCTCTCCTGTTGGTGGTCTGAAAACTCTGTTCAGACTTATCACAGTTGACAAGGGGCTAACTACTACCTAAAGAAATATGGTACCTTAACACTACAGCTCCTGCCTCGCAAGGCTTCACAGTATGCGCGCTTACCAGGCAGGGCTCCACTCCGTGTGTGGTTTGCCACTGACTATGCTCATGTTCTTGTACAGTACAAGTATTAAAGTATTCAAATTTCTCTTTGTTAAGGAATCCTGAGGACCTTGCAATATGAATAATTCCCTGGAGAACACCATTTCCTTTGAAGAATACATCCGTGTGAAGGCGCGAACAATCCCTCAGCACAGGATGAAGGAGTTCCTGGACTCCCTTGCTTCCAAGGGGCCTGAAGCTCTACAGGAGTTCCAGCAGACGGCCACTACCACGATGGTATATCAGCAGGGTGGCAACTGCATTTACACGGACAGCACAGAAGTAGCTGGGTCTTTGCTTGAACTTGCTTGTCCTGTTACAACCAGTGTCCAGCAGCAAACCCAGCAAGAG